GGACATTCCGGCTGCAGCAGCACTCTCTCCAATGAGCATGGGTTCACCAGCTTTGCAGGAAGGCCCCCTCCTGGTTCACGATCCTGCCTTTATAATTCTGTTTATTCTCCTCCTGCCTTCTCTTACTCTTTTCAGTATCTAACCACTAGTGACTAATTTACTAGTGACTAATTCCTTACACAGACTCTGTCTGTGTAAGTATGCCCCTACTTGGTGGTCCTGAAACTAACTGAACTTCCTCCAAAATAACCATTGTTCAGACTGAATAAACAAGTGAAAAGAGATGGGAATAAAGTGGGAAATCTGACATGACCGAAGAAGTTATATATGAATATCTCAGGCTACGTGTATTAAAGAAAATGCACCATTAAGGAAAACGTGTAGGGCATCTGAATCTTTCAAAAACCTACTAGATGTTAAAAACATGTTTCATTTTGGAGAACATCTTCATACGTAGGTAAGAATAAACATGACACATGCATACACAATCACATACTCTAAATCACATGCTCTAAAACATAAAAAGAAACATTTTTATTTGGGGGTTTTCTTCGTTTAGTTTTATTTATTTATTTATTTTTTACTATATGGTGTATGTGTTTCTTATTGGAGAGAGATGGAGAGAAAAGAGAGAAAAAGGGAAAGTGAGAAATTATCCACACATACCCCGCGGGGGGATGGCCACACCACAATCCCTTCTTCTCCAGTCTCCTGTCAGGATTTTGGGTACACATACAACATGTGCCTGTCATGATTTTCAAGCCACTGGATTGGGGACTTGAACCATGGTCAGCCATGTGGGAGTCTAATGCCTTAACCACCATACCACCTGCTGATCTACTAAGAAAAAAAATCCAGGTGCATGATTTATTATTTAAATGTTGCCAACTGCAATTCCACTCAACTCAACTCAATGCAATTATATACAGTTGGGAGTGTGAGCACATTTCAATGTTTACTGTAATTTGTGGTAGAGACCCTGAAAATAAGAAAGTTTATCTCAGGCCTGTTAAAAATATTTCAATTTCTTGAGTTTAACTTCCAACCAGATGACAGTGTTCTGAATTCAATTCCAATATGAAGGAGCTAGTGTCAACTTGTTCAATGGCTAACGACTGGGCATGGACACCAGCAATGTGTGTTAGTGATTCCAAAGAGAGATGTGAGGGGGTTAGTCTAATCCACTATCGCTACGAGAAAAAAAGTGACTTTATATATTTTGCCAAAAATGTATGACCAGGGTTGTCTAAGACGCCCAAATATCAAATACGTCTTGCTAGAAATATGCATTTTTAAAATTTTGATATCTTAAGGTAAAATAATTCACTTTGCAAAATAAAAAACAAAAACGTAAATTCAACACAGCGCGTAACTGTGACTACTTACGCTCACACGAAAAGGTGCAGCGCACTGAACGCTTACTCACCTTGTGGGGTCCTACACACTGCTCCTTTCTGTTCTGGTTGGTAATCAAACACCAGCCGCCACCACAGCAGGGCCATCACTTACGTGCCACCCTGCTAGTTTCTCGATGCAATACTGACACCGCCCTACGCTCTCTGCTCAGTTCTCCTCTCCACGTGGCAGTCAGGGATTCGTCCTCACTAACACCTCACTAACATCTGGGGACACTGACTCAGATGAGCTGTGTTAAGACGAGGGGCATTTACTAAGGCGAGACTACCTCCACAGACAAGCGACGACATTGGGGACACAGTCTTGGGTGTCATCTTTTCAAGGTCCCGGACACTTAGACTGACGTCTAGGAAGAGATACGTTAATATTTCAGGGGCCGACCCATAGTGCGGGGGCAAAGAGGGCTGGATCCCATCTGGCCGACTGTGTGGTTCAAGCCCCGGACACAGCTGCTGGAAGAACACATCAGCCATGCTTATGTATGTGCTCCAAATCCCAAGAGAAGAGTGGAGGAGAAGGGATGTGGCATGGCCATCCCCCCTGCAGGGGTTGCTTTCTCTCCTTCTCTCTCTCTGCCTCTCTCCAGCAAGCACATGTGCTCTATAGCAAAACAAAACAAAGCTAATATTTCAGGTCAAAATATAAGATCATTCAAAGGAGAGGGTAGGGTTATGCTGAACAGTGGGACATGCCCTGTGGTTTTCAGACTGTGCCTAGGACCCAGAGTTGGAGGAAGGTGGGAAGGAGCACTTAAATGTTCATGTTCCAATCTGAAAGAACCTTAAAGATCTGACAGTGTTTGGTGCCTCCCCCCACCCCAAGGGGAGATCACCCTTTAACTCTATGGTGTCTCACATTTTTAGCCACCCAGGACACAAGGAAAGGACAGGAAGGTAAGAGAAGTGGCTCTGATGGAAGAAAACTAAGCTCTTCTTGCAATCAAAGTGGCATTCGTGCCCCATGCTAGAAGAGAGGCCCCAATGAATTGACTAATCCGCCCTGAGTGCCTGCAAACAGAAACCTTGATTTGTTTGTTCATCCAGGTGGAACACCTCCTCGCTCGTCACCTTTCCCCTGGGGTTATCAGAGAGAAGGGAAGAACCGGAGAGGGATGACATGATGGGGCTGACTGGGGAAGAAAAGGGACAAGGGCGTCACCTCTAATTTGCATTCCTGGGTCCTAAGAAAGACAGATCTCTGAAGAGCCACCAAGGCCCTCCGGCTGGAGGGCGCCTGTGGGGTGAATGAGATTATGAGCCACAAACTTGTCAGGGAGATTCCACGGGACAAGAGACAGCACAGCGGGGAATGCAAGGTCAGGCAGGCGTCAGATGGAAGCTCTGGCAGAATCTGACAAGGCATTAATGAATGAAAAATTATTTCCACAAAATTTTCTATTGCAAAGCTCTGTAGTTTGCAGCAAAACTGGAGGACTGCTTATTCAAATTCTTATGCTTCACCAATAATTTATCTTTGGTGATTCCAGACCACCAGTTTCTCACACACCAGACCCATCTCTCCCTCTTACTCATCTCATTTTAAGGAAGAAAGACTAAATTCGTTCCATAGAATCCAAGAATACCAACACACACTAGCTGCCTCTGCATGGATTCATGTCTGCTGCCGTGGGGTGTGTGTGCACACAGATCACATGAGAAGGAACCGCTTGCTTAGTGTCCATCAGAGGCCACGCTGACCGTGATCACATTCTGTAAGAAGTAACCCTCTGGGGCCAGCAGGTGGCATGGTGGCTAGGAGGACTGGACTCCCACATGGCCAACTGTGGTTCAAGTCCCAGACCCAGTGGCTTGCTTCCTCACTTTCCCTCTCTCTCTCTCTCACTCTGTCCCTCTCTGGTCAAATATATAAAAATAAATAAATAAATAAATAAATTAAATAATAAAGTTCAAAAATAAAATAATTCTTGGGACCAGCAGTTAGCATAATGGCTATGTCGCTAGACTCCCACGTAGTCTACTGTGGTTCGCATCCCAGACCCTGTGGCTTAAAACTCATGCCAAGTGTGTGTGCTTGCATGCCCAAGATCCCGAGAGGAGAATGGAGGAGAAGGGATTGCGGCGTGGCCATCCACCTGGGGGGTGATTTGTCACTTTCTGTCTCTCTGTCTCTGTCTGTCTGGCGAGCGCACGCACCCTATAGCATAAAACTCTCAAAAAAATAAATAAAATAAAATAATTCTTAAAGAAAAAGAAGCAACTCTATGAAATTGAACAGTTTTTACTTATGAAAGTCCAAGTTGATATTTTAGTCCTAGAAAACTGTTCTGAGTAATGTGACTATTTCTGCTTACAGCGGTTCTCCACACTGTATCGAGAGAGACGCGTTTTGAAATGTGACTATTTCTGCTTACAGCGGTTCTCAACACTGTATCAAGAGAGACGCATTTTTAAAAGAAGCTATAAGGGCTTATCTGAACACTCGAGCTGGCGCTCTGCACTGTACTGTGATCAGGTTAGTAGCCAGCCAGGCGGACGTGGGGGAGATATGCAATTCTATAACATTAAAAATACCTATCTATTATCAATTACCCCTCCCCCACTCTACGTAATGGAAATACCATTGCATGAAAGACTCACCATGTCTGTATCTGAGACAGGCCCAAAACTGGTCACATAGATGTTAGTGAAGACTTCAGTAATACTGTCTGGCATGAGAGAAAGAAATTGAGTGTTGACATTATGTCAGGAGAGACAGGGAGGAAGTATATATTGATATTATGATTAGAGTATTGCTTTTCACTTTCTTTCAACGTCTACAACCAATTATCAAAGCTACATTGCAGGGTCAGAAGCTGGCATGAAGATTAACGTGGCTGCATCCCACATGGCTGATTCCACAGTTTGAGTCCCAGACCTGACAACTTGAAAATCGCATCATGCGTGTGCATGCGTGCCCAAAATCCCAAGAGGAGGATAGAGGAGAAGGGAATGAGATGTGGCCATCCATCTTGGGGGGCAGTTTCTTGCTTCCTCTCTCTCTCTCTCTCTCTCTCTCTTTCTCTCTCTGTTTCTCTCTGGTGAGTGTACACACCCTTTAGCAAAAACCAAACCAAACCCAACAGGGATATCTTTATTATTTCACAGGGTCTCACAACCCTTGATGTGAAATGCTTCCAATTACATTCTTACATGGAAACCATACCTGATTAAGACATTCTTTGTGAGATTACACTGCTCACAATGAATAATTTCACAGACATCATCTTACGTCATCAATGTTATAATAAATTTACCACCGGTACTGAAAATAAAGTACAGTTATTGTTTAATATAGTCCTAACTTTGGCCATTCGACAAAATATTTCAGCGGTATTCCTAACTGTAGAGATTTAGTTTATAGATTGTAAATCAGTGTATTTTATCCAGGAAGCATATAAAACAGGTTAATCATTACAAATAAATATAATTCATGCTAATATAAACAGCTTTGTTATTCAGTAACATAAAAATAAATGTTAGGCCGTCGGGAAAGTCAGGACATAGTTTTCTGTTTTTCTATGATGACTTCCCCAGCGACCCAATGACTTGGATAAATCCCAATGGAGTACTTCCCAACAAAGTCGCCTTCCTGTGCACTCAAGAATAAATGAAATGCTAAGATGGCATTGAACTGGATTCTGAAATTATGTAACTTAGCTGTAACACGATTAGCCGGACTGTTCTATTACAGATGATTAAGATCTCTGATGTTCAATACAGCCAAGTGATAATGGAGAAAACGTTGAACGACAGGCTTTAAAACAAAACCCTTTCCACTTTCTTACACGGAAAAAAAGAAACGCATCATTAGTTTCTGCCCTCATGAACTGAATGCCTCATTTTCTGTCAAATTGAGAATTCCGCAGGAAGAATGTCATGAAGTATTTTTCACGTTCTAGTGGACGTCAATTCACCACCATCGGTGAGGGCAAACGGGGCAGCCCGCCGCATGGCAGAGGCCCTGCTCCCAGGGAGCCGCTCCCACCTGGCCGGCCAGAGGCACGGGCCGA